TGCCATGTAGGTTTATATCTGTGTGGGTGGGTGTGAACAGAGCTCTTGATGTGTAATATTCTTCCCATCTGCACACCAGGTGGCACTGCATAGTTAATCAGAAGATAATAACAGGCATGAGGAGATTACTTACTTTTTGGGGAAGAGACAGTAAATCAATCTCACAGGGCTTTTTTTTAAAACAAGGTACATCAATGCTAGGACTTTTAATTTCTTTTTTTTTTTTTTGGTGTGCAATTTCATTCCAATCAATGGAATCATCTGACTATATTATTGTTTGAATGCTATGTTAATTAACTATGAATGACTGCAATTATCACAAAGGTTCTTTCCACAGGGGATTTCACTTTTTTCTTTTTTTTTTTTTTTTTACGCTCAGTTTTAACCCTTGCAAGCAGAATATAATATTCAGGATACATCCAAGCAATAATTTGCTGGGATTTACTCCATATGCTTATCTAACCTACCATTTCACAACAGTTAATAGAGCCTCTGAATATCCTGATACAATAAAAGTGACTTCATAGTAATTCAACATCACAAGATGGAGGAAGAAACAAGAGAGTTCGTCACTAGCTGCATTTGTCCTATAACGAAAAGTTAACTAGAAAGTGAGGTAGGGCTGTGAGTTTAAGCCTATAGACCCTAAAGTAAAAGTGTCCAAGCAATTTCTAGGAATGAAGGCTTAAGATTTTTTTAAAAACATTTTTTTACCAAATAAAACCATCTTTGAATATATATTTTTACCTGATCTTCATATAAAGAGATGTTAGATAAAACCCCTACATTATGATAAAACATAATAGAATAAGGATAGAGGTTTGTGTAAAAGTCTGCAGAAAATATGTTTATGGTGATACCCTTTCTGTATATTTGTTTGAATGGCCCATGAAATGTCCTTAAATACTTGAAATATTCGGGTCTTTCATTTTCATTCAATTAAATAGTTGTATAAAGCATTTGTTTTGTTTTGTATTTTCTCTTTCAAAAAGAATATACAGTGCTTCGTGTAGTCTTAAAAACCAGAACCACAAAATCCTGTTTTCCAAAGAATGCAGCTGAACTTCAGGAAGGATGAGTAATAAAAGCCTAGTATTTCTGCATTTGCTCTGATAGCCAAGTGAGACACATACACATAGAAATTTTTTGTAAAAATCATGAGTATTCTACCCTGAAAATCAACCAAGAGACACAGTAACACAAAGCATTCAGACTACTCTGTTCTCCGTAAGACACTCTCTGCTGCCTTACTTAGCTGTCTCTGAGGACCATGTGGTCTCTCCTCTAGCCCTTCATTCTATCATTGATTTCTCCTTTTGCTCTCAGCATGATGATTCTCTCTTGCCCTCAGTTTCTATGGTGTTTACAGAAGGCAGCAACTGATGCAAGACTCTTTGTTTTTCTAACAAAATTTTCAAACTGATTTGTCAGCTCAATCACAAATTCTTCACAAACATTTCTTACCAAAAACCAGCACTGATTATAGGTAAAGCATGTTGAGTGTAAGCTATCAAATCTGGAAAGGATTTTTTTTTTTCCTATGCGTAGTTTTAGAGGTTTGTTTGGCTGCTGCCTTTTAGTCCTGTGAAAAAATTCTCACGTATGCTATTGTCTATCATTACTTTCGATGTAAGAAACTGAGATACATGGACTACCCTTTAATATTTATACTAGCTGTAATCTGAAATCAGGACTGCTGGAGAAAAACAGAATGGTCTGGTCTACGTCCAGGTCACTGTATGCAAAACACAAGGTAACATCTGCAGCCAGATGTTGCAAAGTCTTTGAAGAGAGAAAACTGAGAGGACATGAGAGTAAATGACGGACAGGGAAGAGGCAATTCACATATCAATTCTCTAGAAATAAAGAGGAGTACAACATTAAGAACTAGTTGGATGAAACACAATTCAGGTAAGGCAAAAACCAGGAGATTGAAGGAACGTACTACCAAAAGCAAAAAAGGTAACAGTCAACCCTGTGACTGAGATTCACCTATGGTTTGTTCTGAGGTTCTGCTATGAGTGGGCAGTGTAGGCTTCCAGTGTGCCATTGCCCAGATTGATCTCCTTCATTTCCACTTACCAGGTAACTATGAAAGCTTTTCCTCAGATCTAGTCTTTGCTAGCTCAACATATGTTTTTGTAACCCAAAATTCCACAAGAGCCTCTACAATGTTGTACGCACAGCCACAGTCTAATTGGGAAAGATATGATGGAGCAAAATAAAATAGTATGGAGGTAAGGCGTGACTCAAATTGAGACCCCAGAAGTTGCCAAAGGTGACACATCCTGGCCATCTGTTCATTTTCAGGTCTAGTACAAGGGTTTTTCTGAGCTTTAAAAAGTGATCTAAATGCACCAGACCTACTGGCTGAAACGGATTTTTCACCTTAAGATAAACCATCATAGTCTCAATGCCTCAGTAAGCACAGACTTGAAGCTAAGCATCTTTTTTATTATTATTTATTTTAGAGTAAGGCTGTTAACCTGTTTCCTTTCAGGAACTTCTTTACCCTTCAGTTCTGAAACACAGTGAATACGCTGACTAGAGCACACTTTTAATACCTTTCCTTACAGCTCTAACAAAAAGCCTTTGCTATTCATTTCTCTTTGATAGGGTCACTTGTTAGAAGTGATCAAACCTCAGTCACCTATGCTTCACCTTCCATAGACCCAGCTGAGGAGTGCACCTTCCCTACCTCACGTCGCATTCCTACAGAGCAATATATTTTTCCTGATGCATAACTGTGTGGAAAATAGCTTTCAAAGTTCTCGTTGCCTCTCCACCTGCCCTCACGTAGCTGGCTATTTACAAGTGCTTTTCCGTTTCATGAATCACGTGGACTCTTGTACAATCCTGACTGATAAATTCTTGAGTTCCATCTCATTTTCGAGACTAAAGGTGTGCTCTTCACAAACAGCATTGCTATGAAAAAATCCTCTCGCAGTGTACTGCCTTCTGCCATCAGAGGCCTCATCATCTTATACACACCCGTTCACTTTTTATTTCTTCCACTAATAGTGAAAATTGAAAACTACAATGTTTATTTTCCATCAAGGTACAGATTCATTTAGAAGCAAATGACAACAAAATTTAAAAAAAAATAAATTCTATTTTATGTAAGTAGTGCCCTCTAATTACTTTAGTCCCATGATTCAGGGCAATGTTCAAATGTGACATTTCATTGAATATATGTTTGTTCAGCAGGCAAAGAACACAAAATGAAATTCAGTACAGACTCATTATGGAAAAACTGTTGTTGCTGAGAATTTATAAATGCTCTACTGAATTAATACAGCTAACCCTAGAAATCTGTAACCCCTTCTTTTGTCCTCCATCTTTCACTACCAGTATTCAAGGCCACATTACTGTCCAGTGTCTTACACAGTACTGTAAAAAAGAGTTCACAGGCAGACATGGGGGTACAGAGAGGGACCAACTTCATTATGAATGCAAGGTAGCTTCCAATAAAAAAACTTCGTAGGAACACATAATCCTTCATTAGCATTTATACCCTCTGGTTCCTAATACAATCAGTGAACACATGGTTTACGGAAGAATTATGCTTCAGGTACCTTCTCTCTTGTTTATTACAATTCTGGCTGTGTCCCTTTACCTAGCACCTGTATGGTACAATATTGTCTATATACATTTCTAACAAAAAATATTTTATATTGGGATAACTTTATTAAGGTCAGAAAATAAACTCACAGACATAAAGCAAACATTCCAATCCTGTGTGTAAAGTGTTCAGTGGTCATTTTTGCTAACCTTCACTGCACTATTATTTTAAATTTATGAGTCAGAAATGGAAGGAAATCATGCTGATGTTCAAGAAACGACTGATAATTTTTTCCTAAAAGACAGAACCTCAGAAAACAAATGTTTATTTATGAATTAATCCCTCATTGGAGAGATTTCACAAAGCTGTTTGAGAGACATAGATTAAAACAATAAAGAAGATAAGTTGGACTATTGCATTGTATAAAATTACATCAAAATATAACACATCAGAAATTCCTATACACGTAAGGTCTCTAACAATGTGAGGATTTAGGATTTTATAAATCTCAAAGCTCTGTACTATAATCACATGACAGAATAGACCTGCAAAGCTTATTATACTGCATACCCAGATGGTAAACAACAGTTGTCGTTGTACTAAGAATTACATCTCTGTAATCAATAATAGGAAGAAGGAACAGTTGGACAACTTGTTTCCTATTATGTTCACTTAGGCAACGTCTAGATCAATAAAGAGCATTAAGCCTCATACCAACTGTAGATGATGCCTGCCTAACACGCCTATCATATGGTAGCGATGGGTCCAGCTGTACCTCAAAATATTTGTAAATGGATAACAGTTCTAATGTAATGTTGAAAAGCAGCAATGATTCAAACAGCAGGCAGGTGCAGGACTTCTTTAGCACATGAGGGAAGACAGACCTATGGTGCCAGTTTTAGTGTAAGTCAAAGTCAGCCTATTCTGTTAACCCAGCCCATAATTACATTTCACTACAGCCTATCTGAAGCGTGCTGCATGTCTTATATGAAGGAAGGAAAAAAAGCAACCAACCATGGTAACACTGGCTTACATACAGACTTAGTAATTACGTGGGTATAGTAAGATGTTCACAGAACTAATAAACTGAACTTGTGTATCACTCTAGGCCAATATGGCAATCAATCATGAGTCATTTTTTAGTTCACCCATTTTGTAACTATTTAAGCAAACAATAAATCAACACATTCAGCTATATTCTCATCTTAGTTAAGTATCTATCCTACAAATAGGATACAATTTTAACAAATAACTGTCTTAAGAGAGCTACCTTTAATTTCCTGGGTTTTAAAAAATTTTTCTTAAATTCCATACTTCCATAATGCATCAAATTGAAGCCATGTCACATCATCCTATTAACACAGATACAAGTCTCAGTTCATTCTTACAGTCATTCAATTTCAAGAAGACAAAACATAGGACAGTGAGCTTTTCTTACCTATTCCAATAAAAACTGCTTCATAGCCATCTTCCTTCAAAGTGCGGAGTGTCATTCCATCCATTGCAAGGCCTTTGCTGAAAACTATCTGAAAGAATTAAAGATTATTGCTTTTAATGCGATAATGCTAAAATAATTTCCATCGTGTCCTTCATACAGACATGTCACAGGATCTTCTAGTGAATAAATGGTGGAAATTATTCTTTTTTCCCCAAGCCAGACTTAAAAGTCCAGGTTGGCTTCGATTTAAGCAAGTGATCCAAACTAGATATGGGTGAAATGTACCTTCACGTGGGGGCCACCACAGGCTAGCTTAGTTTCTGCTGTAAGCTAAAAGAGCTAAAGCAAGCGAAACAAACATATGAAGCCCATCTATGGAACACAACACTGAAGTAAAGCTGAAAATGGCAGTTTTCTACTGCGAGTAAATCGCTGTATTCAGTGCCGACTATAGAATATTGTATTCCCATGTGAAAAGCCAGAATTTAAGAAACATGATGTGGAAGCAAGAACCTCCTTTAGGGAATATGTACTAAACAGATCACCCAGCACACCAACTAAAAAACAAGCAGTTTAGGTTATTGCAGAAGCATTAGTGAAAGTATGAGACTCTTACAGAGAAATAAAGGAAATAAAAGACATGACACTATTCAGTATTAATAGGGGTTCTGAACAGAAAACCAAGCAATGTTTTCCCACACAGTATCAGGCACTTGGTAGGTCTCCAATTGTGCAGAATTCAATGCCAGTCCCAGAGGGACCCAGAGGAAGGATGGTATTGCTTTGTACTGCACTCTCAAAGCTCACAGCCTGAATTTTGTACTGAGGCCGCTGAGGACACCTTTGTGCCAGAAACCCTCAGTGAAGCCAGTGGTGTTTTTGTGGATTCGGAAAACCTGCCTGCAAAAGACTGGGCCAGAGATGGCAGTAAGTCTGAAGAACATTCTGTGAAAATTACAGTGTGCCCTTCTTGCTCGTAATGAAGCAGACTGCTCTGTGTGGTAAACTAACAAAGCTTTTCAAAATTATGAATGAGATCACTTTTGATTTAAACTTGCAAATTTTAATTCTAATTTAGACAAGCAGCAATGCCTAGAGTGCAGCGACTGGTGTTCGTTTAGTGAAAGAAATAAGTCACAGTAATAAAAATGCATCTATAATTTATATTTGTTTCAGTTCGACTACTATACATTTCCAGAAGCAAAACTTGAAAGATTTTTGTAACGTTCCATCAGCAATCCTGCTTTGAGCAGCCACTGCAGAGGTGGAGCAACTACAGTTGCTGTAAGAGTGAGACAGAGAAGAGCACTTGCTGCGTGTTCAGCAAACCAACTGCAGCAGCCTCCTGTGTAGAGGTCACGCAATTGAAGATACACACACCTTTTGCTCATCTCTCCTAACCCCAAGGCTTTTGAGCGCTTAAAGTGCGTGCGATTCCTCTTCTGATATTTTGCACTTCTTGACATGAGTATGTGTGTTTTTATCTCTGTACTTTAGACTCTCTGAACTTGAATGACTTCCCCCAGTTTTTGTTATATCACTTGTGTATTCACTTTACAAAATGGCATGCTCTGTTGTGTAACCACTATACTTTGTGATCTTAATAGTTTAGTCTTCATGTCATTGTATTTCTTGTTTGTTACTGAATCTGCCTATACTCCATTTAATAGATTTCTCCTACTGGTGAAAAGAAAAAAAGACAGACGTAAAATAGAGCGTATAATACTTAAAACACTGACTTCTTTTGTCTTTGGAGATTTAGTATGAATTTTATCAGAGATGCAAAAGCTGTGTACAGTTATAATCCTTTCAAGAATACAGGCTACATCCTCACTGGCAACAAAATACATTCCATAAATTGTCATTACATTTTTTTATCCTATTGTGTACATATGTTATGAAAACCTAATGAAGGAATTTAAATGGCAATACTATTTTATATGGGGATTCATAATACTCCTAGGGCCTAGCTCTGTAATCCTTATTCAGCTGACTAATTCTTACTAATTTCAGTAGAATTACTTGAATAAACAGCACTACTGAGCATTTACACAATACAGCACCTTCCACCACAGATCTGAAATGCTTTATGTAAACACCAGAAAATATTTCCAGCTTATAGAGGTATAAAACTAAGGTACTTAGTCAACCAGCTTGCCAAAGGGTCAATTGCAAACCAGTAGCAGAGCTTGGGAGCAAATTTACATTGAGATTCTCTGCTGCCCTTCGATCCCGCAGAGCACTTGCAGGTCAGGATGGTGTGGTGGTTCTAACAGTCCATTCTGGAGACCTTGCCATAACTGGGAGCCCTGGGGAACCGAGTTTTGCAGAGGGTTCCCAGGAGCCTACGCCCAGCGACTTTGTCTAAAATTGACTGTGTTCTGATTTTAGCTCCATCCCTACCTCAACCTCCATTCTGTCAGCTTTTTCGAGGGTTGCAGAGGGATCTTTAGAGTAGAAAAATAGACCTGTGGCATTTAAAGCCTCACCTTACATCTTACCAGTGTTTTTATAAAACCTGGGCAGGATGAGATTCTCACTTAGGTCTTGTGACAGCAGTCTACAGCTTTTACAATATGAACCAACATGAAAGAACCCAAGAAGAATTTCTTGCTTCGCCGAACGTTTTAGTATCATGCTAAAAATACATAATCCCTCCTGATACTCCAAAATTTGATCCAGTGATGCATTCTACATTTGTAACTTCCATTAAAACATGCAGCAGTTGTAAATACTATCTAAATCTTCAGCTCAAGCTCTGAATTAACAATAAAGCAATGTTCCCATTATCTATAAACAACACACATTTGTTTAAAAGAATAATGCATAACTATTGCTTTCCAAGAAGTTGAATGACTGTTATTGTTTATAATAGATGATCATGTTAACACTTTGTTTAATTTGAAGCATTTTATTATAAAATTAACTTGGATACAAGACTGTATGATAAACCATTAAGAAAACACTCAGGGACAGGGAACAAAAGGAGAAGTATGAACTACGAATGCTTTAAGTGGAGCCAAACTTGCATGAAAAAAACTCGATTAAAAAAATCAAATCATTCCAATAGCTACATTGAACCCCTAAAGCAATTTAGGAATTTGTTTCTTACAGACAATTAATCACATGCAGGCATGCCAGATGAGAACTATTGATTGCCCTTTTCCAAACTAGTGGCATTCAGACAGGAGACAGACAAATGCCCTGAGCAAGAGGAAGCATCTTCCTGCCTCTGTCTAGAGTAGCTTTTAATTGTTCTTTACTAATGTGCATGACATTTCGCTGTTAATCTTTGGCAGAGTCCTTGTTCTTTTTTCTTTGAGCTATATATAGGCAGGATATATTTTTCATTACCTTCACTCCGAGATCCTTCATAAGCTCAGCTTCAAAATCCACTACATCATACGGCAATCGGAACTGAGGGATTTCAGACGCACTAAAATAAATAAAAACGTTTGTGAAATACTTCCAGCTATTAGGAAGAAAGGATTTTTCTATTTGTGAAAAATCCAATACTTATAACACGCCCTACTTAATTTTGATGTATGCGAATGGAAATGTACTGAAGCTTGACCATTTACTTTTTTTATCTGTTAGAGTGACAAAACAGTATTATACACCCAATGCTAAAAATATAGGCCAGGAAGGCAGCACCTTGATGTCAATCCTGCCCACACTTGTAAGTAACCATTGAACATATGTTAAACTTGGGTCCAAAAGTACTTCATAGAATCATGGAATCATAGAATGGTTTGAGGTGGAAGGGACCTTAAAGCTCATCCAGTCCAACTCCCCTGCCATGGGCAGGGACACCTCGCACTAGACCAAAGCCCTGTCCAAAATAACCTGTTCCAATGTCTCACCACCCTTCAGCTCCATTCCTTTTGTTCCCCAGATTATGGAGCATTAATTCATCCATTTAAGAAAAGATCTCATCGCTACTAAAAGCAAAGTGATCTTCTACTAATCATTCATTAAGCTACCCAATATGAAAGAATAAAATTTCCCATACATTTTTTAACAAGTGTTGCATATGCTATTTTGAGCAATGGTGTTTAAAACTGTACTCTCTTCCATTTCTACTTTATAAATTTTTTATGATCTTTAAGGATGGACAAAGTCCTTAATTTCTATCAGCTCTTAGTCTCAAGTCTGGTTTTTGACTTAATGTTTATCAGCTGGCATTTCTTCCTCCTGGGGAAGATTAGGAATGACATCTTCCAGTTCCCAGAATCACAGAGCTCCTGTATGAGAGAACTCTAGTGTGAGCACAGAATCTCAGTTTATATCTACTGGTACAGATTTTTAGCTCCATTGAAATGACATCTATTTATGCCAGTTCAAAATCTCTGCCATAAAACACATTACAAGTAAACACAGTGAAGTTCTATTTTAGATACTTTTGTTCGATGAAGATAAAAAAACCTGAATATGTAGAAAAGTGAAAGTCTATCCCCAGATATTTCTAAGCTTCAAACAGTCTAATCTGTTTTCAAATTACTGGATCTATGATATCCATAACAAAGCACTGGCACAAGAGATTCACTGTGGCTTTATTTTACATATTTTTAGTTACCACAACACCTTTCACATCTAATTTTGACAGGCTAGAAGGATTTCATTTATTTCAAGTTGCATCAACTTTAATTACATTGATAAGAAATGGGTGTTCTTCCTTATCATTTCTGACATTGCCTTTTTTTCACCTTTCCTGACCAGTGTGCAATGAAAATTGTTCTAAATATCAGGTACAACGAACACATCATGACAATACAACTTTCATAGGTCAGGCTAAGTAAAAAGGTGTCTGAGGCAGAAACTAATGTATCAATATGATTTTGCAACAGAGATTCAATAACAAAATCTAATTAAAAAAAAGGAAAGTTCTATTTTCCAAGTCACCTGTATGGTTCTTGAAGACCCGTCATTTCCACGACTCTTAGAAGAGCCCAGCACAGCACTGGCTGTGTGAAATCACTGTCAGAATTTGTAAACATTTTTTTATTGCTCTTCTTAAACATTTACTTACACTTTTGTGCTGTGGAGTGGCTATTAGGTATATATATGTGGCTGTACTCCACAGCACAAAATGTACATATATGTTAAAATGCAAATGCACACAGTTCTGCGGGGACACGTGCATGCACATTTACCATGAAAGTAAGCATTTTATGAAAGCCAACTAACTGGTACATCAATAATTCTGATACAATTTCAGCAGCACAACACAGTCCATGACTCT